AAATCTTGCTGAATTTTTCTTTGAGTGTTATCATAAAAATTACTAAATGCATATAAAAGGCAAGAATCCAAAATCTAATGGTAATATGTCATTTTAATAACTATAATTTAAGCATACTATAAATATATGCCTGTTCTTTAAAGATAATAAAACGCCGTTCCTTGCAAATTAGCTAATAGAAATCTTATGATTCAGTTGCTAATGCAAACACAATGAGAAAGGAAAATAATTTTTTTTCTCTGGGTTTCACTTTACTGGGTGTATTGGCACTCCCTCACTGCCTGTCCTGGGAGCAGCACTCAGGGTATGACACGCTCTTGTTGATCATGGGAGAAAGAAAACTGTAACAGTAGACTGTTCTTTCCTGGAATCAAAATTACGGTTTATTGCTTGATTTCAGTGTGTGTCATTTTTGTCTCAGTGCTGCCCTCTTTCCTAGGTATGAGGCATTAAATGATTTGTATGTTTCAATTAAGTTGCTATAAAAAATGAGTAGCTGGAGGGCACGAGTTTATTACTGGTATCCAACTCTGTTTTCATTTACTAAATGGCATTCTGAAAGCTTCTATTCTGAACATAATCACCTTAGGGTATCTATTAGAGTACAGTCCTGAATGATTCAATTACTGCTGAACGCTCTTCTCTCCCCAGAACACAGGGCTTCGCACATTAGCAGCATGTTGAGTGTTTCACAGTTGTTCTCTTTGCACTCATCAGGGTGTTCCCAGGAACAGGGTGGAAGGATGCAGCTTACAGCTTCTTCTTTAAAGCACAGTATCTATGTTGTCTCATGGTAGCACGCTTCTCCAGATGAGTATGTTAGTGCAGATGGACATATTTTCAATTCTGCTTCTTTACAGCTATGTTTTCTTCTCTCTATTGAACCATTGCATATTTTTCATAAAACTAAATTACAGACATTTGCAAGGCATGCCTTGTCCACATGGATTGTTGCACCCAAATGCAGTTTCTGCAAAGAGATTGTGTCAAAAAAATCAAAATCATCCTCTTTGCTCTGTTTCTGAAACTAACACATATTCCAGAGAACACAGAACAGTCAGACCAGGAAAAAAAAAAAAAGAAAAGGAAGAAAGAAATATTAGAGGGCATGTTAGTCTTTCAGTCAAAGTTTCTCAGGTTTTTTATGGTGTTGTGCTAGGATTGAAACGTTTATTAAAAGCATGCCAGATTTGACAAAGTTGTGATGGCTCAAGGTTGACTTCAGTGGCTGGTTTCCGGATTCCCTGTGTCCTGATCAGGAGACTGGAGGTCACGTTGAAGTCTTCCATACACGCAGTTCAGATCCCTTTTGTTTTTGCAGAGGTCTTCTGAGTCCATGGACCCAGGACGGGTGACCTCAGCACACCTCAAAACTGTTGAACCTGAAGCTCATGATGGTGCTTGTTGTTTCCAGTGCTGCTGTTGATTAAGACTCGGCCCTGGATTTCGTATCAGTGTGTCCCAACATCCTTGTTCTTCATTTGGGAAATGGAAAGGCAGTGGTGAAGTCCGAAGCCAAACCTTTTTTCTGGAACATGAGTATGTTAGAATTTCAGTCTGGAAAAAACAAATTAAAAATCACTTCTGATTAAACTGAATTTCTGCATCTCCTGCATGCAGCAATCCTATAGGCACATTCCTTCCCAGTTGCTCAATAATCCCAGAGCAAACTTTATGATAGAGTATCAAAGTGAGATGTCCCCACTGAAGACCAGAAAATATATATATTTTTCTCTACACTAACCTGAAAAATAGATTTTTGTTTCTAAGAGAACATGAATAGCACACCAATTCCTTAAGGACTGATACTTGCATCCATTTCAAGCTTGGCAGACAACACAAATGCATTGAAGTTTAACTCCTGTTGCTTCTGTAATGTATGTGCTGTTGTAAAAAATGGAATGCATGAGGAAACTGAGGCATAAAATAGGGATCAAGGGTTTATAAAAGTATTGTTAAAATCTCAGCACGTGTGAAGAGATCAGGTTTAATATTTCATCCATTTCCAATTCAGTGGTCTTGCAGCAATGCAAATGTGATTAAATAAAGGGTAGTCAGTTTCAATTAATTTTATTAATGACTGCAGCTGTATTCACTGTAAACACAGTTTCTGACACTTAATAGAACGATCTGACCAATAAAGCATAAATCCATCAGCTGTTTGGGCCTGGCTTCCCATCTATCTCCTGCCTTGTGATGAGAACATAACTCGGTTGCTTAGCTTCAGCAACCTTCCCCAAAAAGAATTCTTTCTTGCCCTGCAGACAAAAATAGAATCTACCACATTCTTTGGCAGTTTGATCTAGAATTAAATTCTCTTGTGCAAAAAATGTATAAGACATATGCTTACCTTTAAATTTGAACACGTGCTCACGTTTCAGATGCTGGTTCTTGTTAGGCTCTCTTCATGGAATGAAGAGATCTTCACTCTTGGATGCCACTACACTGTGATAAAATTCTCTCCCAGACTTCTTTTTCAGATGAGTGAAACTGCTGCTGCTTGTTGTACAATATCCAACGCTTTCATACTTTATGTGGTTGTTTTTTGAATCCCCTCAGATCTTTTGAAATGAATGTCAAAACTGTCCTCAGCATCCTTCCTTACTTTTTTTTTTCTTTTTCTTTTTTTTCCCCTCATGTATGTTAAAGTTATTTTTTCCACATCACTATTTCTCCACTCAAGGTTTTTTGGAATCATTGACTTCCAGGATGCCTTTGCCCAGTCTGCGTTCCTTTTTCCTCGTCTCATCTTTTTACATCATTTAATATTAATGTACATTTAAAGCACAGTGCAGATCCTGCTTTTAGCTATACCGTTCTTACCATTTCCTACCAATCTACTGTGTTTTAATCCATCCTTCAGAATACTCTTGCAATACCTGATTCGCCTTGGGCACGTCTACCATGAAATGAATCACGATCAGAGCATCTTTTAGAAAGATGCAGTCGCTCACCTGGAAAAGGAATGAGTTTTACTGCTGCAGGTTGGGGCTATTTGGCCATATCTCCGGTGATGGAGAGCAGATGAGAAGGTGCTGGAACATTACTGATTCTGGAGAAAAAAAAGTAATTTTGTTTCTAAGGAAAGCTAGCAAATCCCCTTGCAGTAGTCAAGGGGCAGGATGCTGTAATCTGAGCTTGACAGTTGAGAAGTACTGAAATGGAGGAGCAGGAAGCACGAGGGCAGTTGAGTGGGACATGAGTAGCATGCACTGCACATTTATGGGGATGGTAATATGTTGGGCTTATTGCTTAAAGTACTGATCCACAGTGATACTGCCTGAAACTGGTTCTTTCTTACTTTTACTATGTTTTTAGTAACTCTCCAGAAAAATGGCACATTTTAAGTTGAAAATCTCATATATTCCAGTCCGAGTCAACTTCTTGAAAATCCATTAAAGAGCAAATCACGGGCTTCTGCAAAGAGAGGCAGAAAAATCTTAAAAGCACTAAATTCAGCAATTTGGAATAAAGCTTAAAACAGGCAACATCTGTTGTTTTCAATCCCATGGGATTTTCTGCTTTTTTTTCCTCCAAATCCTGGCCCTTAAGGAAGAGCAGTGTCAGATTTAGAAAGGACGAAAAAATGATTTATTTATGAATCAGTCTCACCCTTTAATGCACCAATTCAAAACAAAAGAACTTCTTATTGTTATTAAATATGTATTTCATCAATTCTGGTCCAATTATGAAATGAACTGTAACTACAGACATTTTATTCACTCATATTACTCACTACCAGAGTCTGAAGCTTATCTCTATATAAGCAATGAAACTTACTTGGAACATACACATGCATATCCACTTGCAGTTTGAATTAAAGAACCCTTCAGAAACTTACTACCTCATGAAGGCTAATGTGTAATATAGGAAGTTTAGTTTAGAAACAGAACTTATTTAGAAACACAATTTCTACTTTTCAGAAACATGCTGTTTATAAAGTGGAGATTTCAGAAGCTTAACAGCAAATTTACACCAGGTTAGTGTTTCAGCAAAAGAAGTTCCTTGCAAAGTCAAAGTTACACAGAATCACAGAATCACAGAATCACCCGGGTTGGAAGGGACCCCAAGGATCATGTAGTTCCAACCCCCCTGCCTAGCAGGGCCACCAAACATACACATTCAGATCAGGTTGCCCAGGACCCCGTCCAACCTGGCCTTAAACACGTCCAAGGACGGGGCATCCACAACCTCCCTGGGCAGCCCGTTCCAGGGCCTAACCACTCTCCTAGTAAAGAACTTCCCCCTAACATCCAACCTAAATCTTCCCTCCTTCAACTTGGATCCATTTCCCCTAGTCCTGCTGTTGTCAGCCCTTTTGAAGAGTTTACTCCCCTCCTGGGTGTAGGTTCCCTTCAGGTATTGATAGGCTGCAGTGAGGTCACCCCGCAGCCTTCTCTTCTCCAGGCTGAACAAGCCCAACTCCCTCAGCCTGTCCTCATAGGGGAGGTGCTCCAGCCCCCTGATCATCTTAGTCGCCCTCCTCTGGACCCTTTCCAAAATCTCAATGTCTTTCTTGTACTGAGGGCTCCACACCTGGACACAGTACTCCAGATGGGGCCTCACAAGAGCCGAGTAGAGAGGGACAATCACTTCCCTGTCCCTGCTGACCACCCCTCTCCTGATGGAGCCCAGGATCCCATTTGCCTTTCGAGCTGCCAGAGCGCACTGCTGGCTCTGTTATGTTAACTGTTATGTTAACTCTCATGTTCAGTCTCTCGTCCATCAGGACCCCCAGGTCCTTCTCTGCCGAGCTGCTCTCAAGGACCACTCCTCCCAGCCTGTACAGGTGCCAAAGTTAACTGTATTAAAAGTTACATAAGTCAAATAATGTGCTTGTAAGTTTTATATAGAAGTCAACAATGCAAGATCTGATTTTCAGAGATCATAACACGTTTTCCAAGTCCATGGTTGAATCCGCATACTCCCTTAAGCCATTACTGACACTTGCTCATACTTCTAAGATTCGCATCAGATCATTCATAAGCCTACCACTGCTGCCCATTTGCAGAGATCTATGCTGGGATGCAGGTTGCAGCTTCCTCTTCTGCATCAGCTCTGTTGGCATTTATTTCTGCCAGTGTTTGGCCAAACCGAGTCCACTCATCGCTGTGAGGATCTGCAATTTGCTCTCCCACATCATATATAACTATTTGGCCCTCTGAGTCACCGACAGCAATCTCTCTCCCAGTATGTGTCCATCTCACATGGTTCAGAGCAAGATTGCCCTCTACAGTAATGCTTGCAGTTGGCACCTCAGTGTCATTGTTGAGATTCCACAGGTCAAGCCGGCTCGTCCCATCCACGCAGGCAAACAGGGCAGGGTGCGTTGGAGACCACATAACATCATAAACATAATCTAAGTGGTCTTCAAATGAGTAGAGAGGTTTGTTATTCTTCGTTGTCCAAAGCTTTACTGTCCAGTCAAAAGAAGAGGTGACAGAAAGATGTGAGAAGTCTACAGGTCCAACTGCTGCATGGCAGTGGATACCTGTGATTGGTCCCTGGTGTCCTTCAAACATCTCACTGATTCCAGCTTTGCTCCCGTGACGGCATGCAGTATAGACTGAGCCTTCTTCACTTCCAACAACAAAGTTGTTGACATCTCCAATAGGGAAGGACATGCAAGTAACAGCCACAGCCTCGGACTGTTTGTGAACCAGCTCCATGCTATCCAGTGGCTGGGAAAGCATGTCTAGGCTCCAAGAGCATAACTTCCCATCATTTGAGATACTGATCAAGTTATGAGCATTCTGGGTCCCAACAACATTTAAACAGTAGACGGGGCGCGTGTGAGCAGCAGCTGAAAGTGGAGTTCTCTGCACTGGAGTTCTCTTATTGCTGCGATTATCCCATAGCACGATCTGGCCCGAGTATGTGCCACCAACCACCAAATTGGGATGAAATTTTGCAAATGTAGCTGACATTACTGCTGACTGGCAATGAAAGACGTACTCTGGTGTAGTCTTCTTGTACTTCATATTCCACACGAGGGCCACTCCATCAGGCTCACGAGGTGCATACTCATTGTTGTAAGAGGCAACAAGTAATTCTGGGTACTGAGAGGACCAGTCCAAACAACAGACAACACTATGCTTTGACCAACATTCATCAAAAAACTGCCTATTTAAGGACAGTTTTGCTCCTGCTTGAATCTCCCCTTCTTTGTCTTCTAAGTAGTGATAGTTCAGGCCGGCAGTGATGAGATCCCTGTTAGAAGCCTGAGGATTATAAAAAATGATTTTAGGAGACTGGGGAAGTTCGTTGATGGAGCGGGCATACAAGTAGTGTTTGCCAGTATTCCCTTGGTGGCAGGGACGAACGCTGAGATGACCAGGAAAAGCCATCTTATAAATGCATGGCTGAGAGGCTGGTGCAAGCGCAAAAATTTGGGATTCTTTGATCATGGGGTGGTCTACTCGGCATCTGGCCTGAGGTCTGCTGATGGGAATTGCCTGTCTCCAAAAGGGAGACGGATACTTGCCCAGGAGCTGGCGGGACTTGTAGAGAGGGCTTTAAACTAGATAGGAAGGGGGAGGGGGATAAAGCCAGGCCTGCTAGAGAGCAGCCTGGGGAAGTGGTAATGGGATTAGGTGAGAGGCGAGGGGCTCAGCTGAGGTGCGTCTACACTAATGCACGCAGCATGGGCAACAAACAAGAAGAGTTGGAAGCCATTGTGCAGCAGGCAAACTATGACCTAGTTGCCGTAACGGAAACGTGGTGGGATTGCTCCCACGATTGGAGTGCTGCAATGGATGGCTATAAACTCTTCAGGAAAGATAGGCAAGGAAGGCGGGGTGGCGGTGTAGCTCTCTACGTTAGGGAATGCTTTTACGCTACTGAGATTATGACTGGGGACGATAACGTTGAATTGCTATGGGTAAAGATCAGAGGAAGGGCTGACAAGACAGGCACCCTGGTGGGCGTCTGTTATAGACCTCCAAATCAAGATGAAGAAACAGACGAGGTATTCTATAAGCAGCTGGCACAAGCTGCACAGTCGCCTGCCCTTGTCCTCATGGGGGACTTTAACTTCCCTGACGTATGCTGGGAGTACAGCACAGCACAGAGGAAGCAGTCTAGGAGGTTTCTGGAATGCACAGAGGACAACTTCCTGATACAGCTGGTCAGAGAGCCCACGAGAGGAACTGCCCCACTACACCTGCTGTTCACAAACAGGGAAGGTTTGGTGGGAGATGTGGAGGTTGGAGGCTGTCTTGGACAGAGTGATCATGAAATGATAGACTTCGTGATTCATGGTGGAGCCTGGAGGGGGAATAGTAATACTGCTACCTTGGACTTCAGGAGGGCGGACTTTGAATTGTTCAAGGGACTAATAGGGGGAGTCCCCTGGCATTCAGTCTTAGCGAGTAAAGGGGTCCAAGAGAGCTGGTTGCTCTTCAAGAAGGAAGTCTTAAGGGCGCAGGAGCAGGCAGTCCCCCTGAGCTGCAAAATGAGCTGGCGGGGAAGAAGACCGGCGTGGATGAATAGGGAGCTATTCCTGAGGCTCCGGGAGAAAAAGAGAATCTACCGCCTGTGGAAAGAGGGACAGGCCACTCAAAATGAATACAAGGAAGTTGTTAGGATGTGTAGAGGTGAAATCAGAAAGGCAAAAGCCCAGCTTGAATTTAACCTAGCCGCTGGTGTGAAAAGGAATAAGAAACTCTTTTATAAATACATTAACAGTAAGAGAAGGACAAAGGAGAATATCCACTCTTTGCTGGATGAGGCTGGGAATGTGACCACTGAGGATAAGGAAAAGGCGGAGGTTCTGAATGCCTTCTTTACGTCTGTCTTTAAAAGTCAGACCAGTTATCCTCAGGATACCCCTCTCTCTGACCTGGTAATCTCGGCCGGGGAGCACACTAACCCCCCTGTGATTCTGAAAGAAACAGTCAGAGACCTACTGCTCCAGCTGGACTGCCACAAGTCGATGGGGCCAGATGAGATCCACCCGAGAGTGCTGAGGGAACTGGCGGAGGTGAGAGCCGAGCCGCTTTCCATCATCTGTCAGCGCTCCTTGTTGACTGGTGAGGTCCCAGAAGACTGGAGGCTTGCCAACGTGACTCCCATTTATAAGAAAGGTCGTAAGGAGGATCCGGGGAACTACAGGCCTGTCAGCCTGACCTCGGTGCCAGGGAAGGTTATGGAGCAGATCGTCTTGAGGGAGATCATGCGGCATGTGCAGGGTGACTGGGGGATCAGGCCTAGCCAGCATGGGTTCATGAAGGGCAGGTCCTGTTTGACCAACCTGATCTCCTTCTATGATCTAGTGACCCATCTGGTGGATGAAGGAAAGGCTGTTGATGTGGTCTACCTAGACTTCAGCAAAGCCTTTGACACTGTCTCCCACAGCATTCTCCTGCAGAAGCTGGCAGCCAGAGGCTTGGATGGGTACACTCTTGGCTGGGTAAGGAGCTGGCTGGAAGGCCGGGCACAGAGAGTGGTGGTGAATGGAGTCAAATCCAGCTGGCGACCAGTCGTGAGTGGTGTTCCCCAGGGGTCGGTGCTGGGGCCTGTCCTCTTCAATATCTTTATTGATGACCTCGATGAGGGCATCGAGTGCACCCTCAGTAAATTCGCAGATGACACCAAATTGGCTGGAAGTGTGGATCTGCCTGGGGGTAGCGAGGCCCTACAGAGGGATCTGGACAGGCTGGAGAGCTGGGCTGAAGCCGATGGGATGAGTTTCAACAAGGCCAAATGCCGGGTCCTGCACTTCGGCCACAACAACCCCAGGTGACGCTACAGGCTTAGGGCGGTGTGGCTGGAGGACTGCGTAGAGGAAATGGACCTGGGGGTATTGATTGATGCTCGGCTGAACATGAGCCGACAGTGTGCCCAGGTGGCCAAGAAGGCCAATGGCATCCTGGCTTGCATCAGAAGCAGTGTTGCAAGCAGGAGCAGAGAAGTGATTGTTCCCCTATATTCAGCACTAGTGAGGCCGCACCTCGAGTACTGTGTCCAGTTTTGGGCCCCTCACTGCAAGAAAGACATTGAGGCCCTGGAACGTGTTCAAAGAAGGGCAACAAAGCTGGTGAGGGGTCTGGAACACAGGCCATATGAGGAGAGGCTGAAGGAGCTGGGAATGTTCAGCCTGGAGAAGAGGAGGCTCAGGGGAGACCTCATTGCTCTCTATAACTTCCTGAAGGGAGGTTGTAGTGAGCTGGGGGTCGGCCTCTTCTCTCATGTCATTAGTGATAGGACCAGGGGGAATGGTTTCAAGCTATGGCAGGGGAGATTCAGGCTGGACATGAGGAAGTATTACTTTTCAGAAAGGGTGGTCAGGCACTGGAATGGACTGCCCAGGGAGGTGGTGGAATCACCGACCCTGGGGGTGTTCAAGGAAAGACTGGATGTTGTGTTGAGGGACATGGTTTAGTAGGAGCTATTGGGAATAGGTGAACGGTTGGACTGGGTGATCTTTTAGGTCTTTTCCAACCTTAGTGATTCTGTGATTCTGTGATTCTATGATTCTAAGTCTCTTCCACTGTAGTCGCAGAAAATATTGATTTGTTCAGAAAGGGCTCTTTCGACAATCCTCGTAGAGTGGTCAAAGAAACTTAAAAACTCTTCAGAATGCAAAATTTGTTGCTTTTCCTCTTCTGTAAGTTCGTGAGGGGCAGCTTCCTCCTCCTCTTCCTTTTTGGATGTTTTTACTTCCTCGGGTTCAACTAAGGGCTTTGGTGCAACCACATCATCATCTTCCTCCTCATCTTCCTTTGGCTGAGTCATAACAGGTGTTTGTGTCTCCTTTGTATACGTAACAATTTCCCGAGGAGGAAAGTCAACTTGTGTGATTTTGGCCATTCCAAGTTCAACAGGTCCACGTCTGGATCCAACGGCGCCATCGCCGGAGTCCTGGCTCCCAGCCTCACTTGGTGTACTCATGGATTTGGAAGACAAAGAGGTAGGAGGAGGGACGACAGGAGACTCCAGTGTCAAGCCCACGCTCTGAAGTAATGCTTCAGCTTCTCTTCTCTTCTTTTCAAGGTCAGATTCTTCTTGAACAGGAAGAACATCCTTCTTCTGATCAGTTTCTTTTTCCTTTCTTTCTTCCTCCTTTCTTTTCTTCTTCTCTCTGATCTGAGCCAATCGCTGCTTCTTGCGCTCCAACTCCGCCTTCAGTTCACTTTTGTCAGACATGACTGCAACACTTAACCCTGGCGCACACGTCGGCAGCTTTTCAGCCACGTTCTCTGCCAACGTGGAAGGGTTAACAGAAAATAACGCACTGATTTATATAAAATCAGAAATATGTCTGGAAATCTGGAATCCTTGAGTAGCTAAGCCAGCTCCAGATCCTTCTCTGCTGATGAACAGAGGTCCAAATACTGTGTGAGCACAGCAGTTTTCAAATGGCCTCACAGTTATTATGCCAGATGCCAAAATTACATTTTTTTCTCGCTAATATTGTTACTATTTTGCATGCTTGTTCATCAGGACTATTAATGGTAGAGCTTTCTTTAAAGGAGATGTTGCCTACATAATGAGGTTGGTGAAGAAAAAAATAAAAAAGAAATGGTGAAGCTATTGAGGCACATGAAAAAATTCTCTGTTCACATAACTGTTTCATTATCACATTCTACCTCAACATTTTGTCTACAGTGCTACCTCAGATCATCACTGCAGTTATTGTAATTTTTTTTTTTTTTTTTTACAACCTTCTAGAAAAATAAAACTATTCAGAATAGCTTGGTGGACTCATAGGGATGCCAGCTAAGCAGACTGGTGTAATTACACGCTTCAAAAGTGAATTTTATGCTGATAATACATTTTATTTGTAGGGCCTGAATAGTTGGTCATGAATCAACCATCAATCAATTGTTCTGTGGGATCACAAAACAATTCAGACAAATGCACTGTTATTAATGTATTTCTAGAAGTATTCTCTTATAGGTTTTCTAACACTACATTTCAATTTATGAAGTAGATTGCATTCTGTCAAAAAAACTTGCATAATCTTTTCTTTCTTAGTGGTTTGTAAGGCTTTGAAGCAATTCTGTGATACTGAGTCAAGGTACCAAAATCTTAACACAGTGTTGTAGCTGACAGTGCAGGACTGTAAAGTGTCCTAGGATTTCCAAGTTCAGTATTAAAAAAGCAGTTGGAACGGAAAGGATTCTGCAAATGGCTACAACACTGAACAGTTCTGTAAAACAACTATAGCACCTGCAAATTCCATAGCAACAGGTATGGAAAGTGTTTTTGCAGGGTAAGCTTGCCATATGCATCAACTTATTTTTTACATTGTGCCATGCAGCCAGAACATGGACTTGCTGAATTTTACGGTGATCTGGAAATTAACTGGCTTGCTATGCAGATTTTTGTCTTAAGAAGAGAATGAAGTTGATTGCACAATATTGATAAGAGCTTTTTTGTCATAAAATCATAGAATGGCCTGGGTTGAAAAGGACCACAAAGATCATCTAATTTCAACCCCCTGCTGTGTGCAGGGTCACCAGTCACCAGACCAGGCTGCCCAGAGCCCCATCCAGCCTGGCCTTGAATGCCTCCAGGGATGGGGCATCCACAACCTCCTTGGGCAACCTGTTCCAGTGTGTCAACACCCTTCTGAGTGAAAAAGTTCCTCCTAAGTCTAATGAGCATGATATGATAAGCATATACCTGGAAATTTAAATACTATCCCACTTGCAAGTGCAAATTCATGTACTCACAGGTAATGTGAAGGGTTTTTTAGGGGCAGTCAGAGAAAAGAACATCAAATGAAAAATAGCGGTGCAGGAGCTTCATTGATTTCTTAGAGAAAGGTTGGTACTCATACATTAATAAGTGATTCTGTCCCACAAAGGGAAGGTAGTAAGAGAGCTCTTATGGGTTAGTAGTCAATATGGAGTAGTCAGTATGTTCATAGCGATATACTGGGTTAGGAACAGAGATGTGTAGGAGAGGAAACAGGAGCAAGCATTGCCAGAGATCTTCCTTAACTTGCATGCATGGCTGTTTGGTTCCTTATTTGTTTCTACCTTCGTTCCTTATCAGAACCACTGCTATTCCAGAAGGCACTGTGGCAGGGCTTGGTATGTTCAAAGCCATGAAATGGCAGAGGCTGAGGTGTAAATAAATATGACCTATGTCATTAATATGGAGAATAAAGGGTAATACCACAAATACACATATCAAGTATGGAAATGAATACAGAAATACGAAATGAATGTGATGCCTACAATCAGCTAAATCTCAGGATTTTATAACGCACTTTCAAAGTCCTCATGACTGAATTCACCATCATGAGCTGCCTAGTTCACTTGTTCACAGCCAAAGCCAGATGAGTATGGTCAAAATAAGTAATACAGGACCAACACTGAGCAATGATATGGCACTGCAAACCCAGTCAAATGTGTGTGTGCTCTGTTAGCCCTACGTATAGAATGGAAGGATTTGTCAGAGTAAGTTGCATTGATCACCAGTCCTACCAAACGAACATCCCTTCCTGTGCTGAAAATACGATGGGCATACATTTTTTCCATTACATATGCCTGATCTCTGTCATTAGTGCTGTTGCAGCCTTTTGGTTGGTATTCAGAGCACTCCTGCAGTTCAGAGTGCAGTTCTCTTCTTACTTAAAGCTCAGTGAATCAGGTGTGTGTCAGCAATCCCTGTCAGCTGCCTTTAGGTCAGCACACAGAATTCAGTACTTGTTTACCCATTTGCAAAGACCTGTTAATTGGCAGTCAGATTAACCTTAATCGTCATTCACTGTTCGCAGTCCAGATGTAATCAGCTGGAAAGCTGAGTATATGTCTCAGGGAAGGAGGTTTTAGAGTATGACTTCAGGGCTCTTGGAGGAGGTGGCTGACCGTTTGAAATTCAATTGCAGGACACATGCACAAAGAGCCACACAACAAAACTCTTTGCTTAAGCTTCCCTTCTTCCTCCCAGTTACATTCCTATTTGATTAAGAAAATGAGGTAAGAAACAGAAATGTAGGCTGAAAGGCATGTGGTCTTATGGAAGGCCTTCATTTGCATAGCCCCACTATTACCTATAGCGGTAATAACTTGTATTTGCCCACAGTCTGCATTGAAGAGTATTTCTGCATACCTCCATAAAGCTATTTTATAGAATCTTTACAACCAACACGCGTATGGAAAGAATTTACAACCTCTGGAACAGATTAATTTGTTAAAGCAACATTTGTATGGCTGTATGTAACTTCAGAGCTCTATTTCCATTCTCACTAATATTGCTGCCACAGAATTGCAGTGGCACAAGGAAGGATTAGCTTAATTCCAAGCTTTATTGACGATACTAATATAATTATTATATTAAGAACTTTATTATTTTAGCTTAGTTTTGACTGCTGTAAGAGTTATATATACCAGCAAAAATAAGGGAATGAAACTGTGGAGTAAAGCCTGTGACTCAGTTTAACAGTGACAACTTTATCTGAGTTTAAGCCATTTTCTATAGGATTCAAATCTAAGCCAAGCTCTGTGGCTATGTAGGATTTCTTTTTATGAATTTGGTATCATTTTGTCATTTGCAGCAGTCTTGTAAGTCTAGATGATTTAAGGTTCATTCACTGTGAGAACTGACCATCTGCTCTCAATAACTGCGAATTCACTTGCAGTATTAACAAACTGTTTCTGTGTTCTTGCATGTTTCTACAATGCCTCAAGCAACTGTTCTTTCCATTTAAGGAAAAGTCACGACAGCTGTGGGATTCACAAGACATTGGTGCTTGTCTCCTACTGCACTTCTGGCAGCAAACTGCAAAGTGCAAATAACTTTTCTAACTGCCTAATAACTGCAAACCTATTAAGCGTGACTTCTGTGACACCAGACAAAAAAACAAAAGATTAGATTAAAGAGTATGTGAACACCTGTAGCTGCTCTCAGGGCTGCCTATTAAGCAGAGCATGTTAGAAGTCAGTATGAGATAAGGATTTTGCTTCTCCTTGAGCGTCAATCAGAGAAGCTGTGTGATGCCCAGCGGAGTTTGGGCTGCAAGCAGAGAAGGGAGGCATCTGCCTCAAAAAATCCCTCCGCTGCCTTTTAGAGCTTATCACCAGCTCTTTGTAAAGGTGGGATGCAAAAAAAAAAATCTCCATCCACATTGTGCTATCCAAGTTGTATATTTAGGTGCAAACTACCTGATCACTGGTTTCTTGCAAAACAGCTGTCAGAGGAAGTTTCACTTCTTGAATAATACCCTAATATTTTGAGGTATCTGCGCACAAACCAGAAGAGACTTAAATCCACAGTCCCCAAATCAATGTAATCTCTATATTCTATATATATATATATTTTAATAGAAAGTTTGACCACAAGGTTACCAAATACATGAGGACTTTTTCAAAGAAGAGAAATAAGTGAACATTTTCACTAAGGCCATTGGCTTTCATTGGGCTGCCATGAAATTTCATTTTAGGAATAGTCTGACATAGTTATGTTGTTTAATGATCTATTGCAAAAGCATGGAAAACACCACAGAGTTTTCAGAAGACACGAAAGTATTCAATTAATCCAGACAGCAGAAGATAAAGGAACTTAAATAAGCCATAATTAAGCTGGGTTTGTGAACAGCACAATGGCAGATGAAACTCAGTGTTGCTGAAAGCAGGGCAATCAATAACTGCAAAGAATAATCTGATCTGCATTGACCCTTTGTCAGTTCCTAGATAACCTGCAACAAATTATGTTTCCAAGAAGACATTTAACTCTGATTTTCAGTGCTTTGTAGCCCTGTTTTGATGCTTTCCCATTAGAGCACAGCTCTTCTGCAACTGCTCTCATCTCCAATTTTTTGGCACATCTGCTGTGTCATTCACTCAGGGTATGATGTGTCCCCCAGTGTGTTGGTTCATTCCCTTGGCCAGCGGATCCCAATCCATTCTCCTGTTTGCCTTCATCCTGCCTTATGATGACAGTCCTGCCTCTGTCTTAGCCTTCCACCTCCACTGTGCTGACCCAGTTGGGTCTTCTCTCACCTCACCTTTCTCTCACACAGACAGATACCTTCAGGTTGCTTCCCAGCATGTCAAGCCTTCTCCCCAGTGTTTCTGTCCATGTCTGTTCATCGCTTTAATTCTCCAGCAAACTCCCCTTGTTAAATCCCACTCACACTTGACATCCTTCTTGTTGACAGCTGCAGCATGCCAGGCTCTGATGCAGTTGTGAAGGATACTCACAAGGA